TGATATGATATATGGAAGTGTGTGATTTCATCCGAAACATCTAGTGAAACTTTATTGGGTGAGTAGTTTATTTTTCTCATAATAACACAACTCTCTTTCTATTCTGCAATACATCTTTGTTTTAATTGTAAAACAAAGTATAAGGTACTTTGAGTATAAGGTAAAGGTTCCCCTTGACATTTTAGTCAGTCGTGTTTAGCCCTAGGGGGCTGTGCTCATCTCTGTTTCCAAGCCGTAGAGCCAGCGTTTGTCCAAAGACAGTTTCCGTTGTCACGTGGCCAGCATGACTTAGACCCGGAATGCTGTTTACTTTCCCACCGAAATGGTACCTATTTATCTACTCACATTTACATGCTTTCGAACTGCTAGGTTGGCAAGGAGCTGGGACAAAACAACAGGAGCTCACTCCGTCACATGGATTCAATCTTACGACTGCTGGTCTTCTGACCCTGCAGCATACAAAGGCTTCTGCGGTTTAGCCCGCAGTGCCACCACATCCCTCTCCAAGGAGTATACTGAATCACAATTACAAAATAGAGACCAAGGCATCAACATTCAGATTTCTGTGTGTCTTACAAGCCTTCTTTACCAATCCAGCAGCACACACTTAATAGTCTAGCTATTTCTTTTCTTCAGCTCCACTGAGCTTTCAGAAACCAGTTTTCCAAGGTGCATGAGGAGTGGGCAATCCTCAATAAAGCTAAAAAGTCTGGTCTTCAGTATTGACATGGTAAATCTCAAAATACACCCACCCACATACTTTTATGATTTAAGAGCAAATGCTCTTATTTCACACCTTGAAATATCGTAATAAGCAAAGGTAAAATAATGTTTACCGCCAGGGCAGACCAGGCCGTGGGGGGTGGCCATTGTTTATAAGGACATATTTGAGGCTGCTAGGCTCTCTGTGCTGGCAAGCCCAGGTCTAGGGGCTGTCCACATGTTCAATCTTCTCGCCAATGCAATTTAATATGTATATGAGTCCACTGGGTGAGGTTATCCAGAGTTGTGAAGCTCAGTGACATCAGTATGCTGACGACACCCAGGTCTACCTCTCCTTTTTTCCTACTGCAGTGGATGCTGTTCCATCCCTTGAATGTTGCTTGGGGACCATTCTGGAGTGGATGAGGTCAAATGGGCTGAGGTTGAATCTGGACAAGAGTGAAATATTGCGCGTGGGTGGCCCCGGCATCACTGGGTTGGGAAACTCCCTCTCCTTTGGGGGAGTGACTCTTCCCACGAAGAGAGAGGTTCGTGGCTTGGGCATCTGCCTGGATCCAGATCTCATCATGGAAACCCAGTTGGCATCTGTGTTCCGGGCAGCCTATTTTCATCTCCAGTGGACTGCCCACCTGCATCCCTATCTAGATGTGGGGGCACTCACGATGCTGAGTCATACCCTCGTAATCTCAAGAATAGACTACTATAGTGGTCTCTACATGCGCTACCCTTGAGGCTGATGCAGAGACTTCAGTTGGTTCAGAATTCAGCATCCAGATTAATAACTGGGTTGAAGAAATTTCAGCACATTTCCCCCACTCTGACTGCACTTCATTGGCTACCGTTTCGTTTCCGCATCGACTAAAAGGTTTAGGACCTCGGTACCTATCAGAACGCCTGCTCCCAGCCAGAGCTGTCCATAATACCCATTCCTCACAGGCAGGGTGATTGAGGGTCTTGACCCCAAAGGAGTCCTGGAGGGAAAGAACTACAAACCAGGCCTTCTTATTGGTTGCCCACTGCCTATGGAACAACCTGCCGACTGAGATTCATCTGGCACCCTTGCTGGATGGATTCAAAAGAGCATTGAAGACCTGGGTCTTCTGCCAGGCTTTCCCAGAGCACTAGGATCTTGCCCTCCCTTTTTACCATTCTTTTTGCTATCCTCTGCATCATTGTTTCCACCACCTTATTGCCATCTGTTTTAATTTCTGATTTGTTATGAATGAACTTTTTTAATAATTTTTTTTTAAAAAAATTCTCCTTATATTATTGTTAGCCGCCCAAAGTGGCCTGGTTGCCAGATGGTATGGGGAAGAAATTAATGAATTGAATGAATGAAACGCACGCACGCACACACACACACACACACACATACATACATACATACATACATACATACATACATACATACATACATACATACATACATACATACATACATACATACATACATACATACGATTTGTGTCCGTGGCATGTATACCTCATATAGACACCAGTTTTAACAGTGTGGTGACAGGAGGGAGGAGGGAGGAAGAGACAAGGAATTGCTATTTCCCCTTCCACAAAGACCAGCAAATGCCTAAAGATTCTCTTGAATTAAATTCTTTTGGTTTTTATTGAGATTACAGTTTATGGAGAGATTTGGCTTTTCACGAATCATGATCTCCTGAGTCATGATTTCAAGACTGTTGTCACTAGTGATTTTGAGGGTGCTCTCGGTCATTCTACTATTGTTCTTATACCTTCATATTTTTGCACAAAGGCTTTCTTTTCTCCTTAATGTTGACATCATAGGTTCAGGGACAGATGCTCTGTGTGGATGGGCCCTCAGTGAAGCCCACCTTTGCTCAGAGAGGTGAAGAGGGCTCCCATTGATACTTTCTATTTGATGGAAATCATCCCACTGAGCCTGTTAGTATATTATTTTAAAATCGCATCGGAGTGCTTAATGATACATTCCCATGTTGCTTGGCCTCCTATTGACCCACTGTGACGTAAAAAGTAAACAAAAAAGAAAGAAAGAAAAGAAAGAAAGAAAGAAAAAGAAAGAAAAAGAAAAAACCACACGCACACCTTTTTACACACTCCCACCAGTTGATTCACTAAATCAACATGCTTTGCTTAGGAAAGACGAAGGTCCATTCATCACTATCTTTTGAATAAAACAGGTTTATTGATTACAGATGTTTCTCTAATAATTCATAAGTATCTTCTTCAGGTTCATCAAGCACCAATAACAATTTTCTATATTATCCTACAGGTTACTATTCACTCCTCAGACTAATCGCATCTCAGATCTCCCAACTATCTCTCTCTCTCTAACTCTAACTCTACTCCTCTCCCTTTCTCCTCATAGGCTCCACCATTAATATATCTAGTGGCCCCACCTCTCAACCACATCAGCATAAAACATGAATAATGCATGACTTATTTTGCATCACAAGGGGTGACCACTACACCCACTGTTCCCTTCTTGTAAGGTGGAGGGTTTGGCCTTGGAGTGAGTACCCCATTAACCATTCCAAAATTTGGAATCTTGCTCAGCATTTAGGGCAGACAGAAACAAAAAAAAGCACCCGAATCTTTTCTTCTGTGCATTTTTGAGAATTTTCAAGGAAACCCTGGGCTTTTTCAGAGAAAGGTCTAACTGTCAAAGGCAGTGCAGAATCAGGAAGTCTATCCACTGCTGCCTAACCTCTGGTCTCCTGGTTTCATTAACATACAGGTGAAGGGGGTGATGACAAATGGCCAGTCAGAGGGCCCACAGAAGCCAGTGGTCATCCTTATATTCACAACTGTTTGTGACAGAAGCTTCTCAGCATGTTCAGGTCTTCCATTGTCAACTGCTTTTATTCTTTGAGTATTCATGACTTCATACATCCAAAAAACTGTGAGCGAGGGAGAGGGACAAAAGAAGAGCAGGCCACTTGGAGGGCTGCTGCTGCAGCATTTCAAACTCTGGTGAAATTCAATGGGGAGGGGAGCAGGCTTGGCTCATAATCATTCTGCAATTCCTGAATTGGGGGGTTGGTCTGATCTTGAGCTCTTCCCTTTCCAAATTTCCTTCCTACATCTAATTATATTTCCATCAGAAGAAGAAATGGAGGTGCACTGGGAATACATTTGGTATTCTAACTATGTTGTCATTATGAGGGGCTTTGAATTTATGTTTCCTTTGAGACCAGACCATGACTTCAGCTTTGCAGGGAGAACAATGAGGATACATGAAGACAGCAAATCTGCATCTTTTGGACCATTTGAAACACATGTTGGAGGGCTTACCAAATAATATTATTGGTAGCTCAGGGACAGGTCACAAACTCTGTTTTCTTGCAGAAGTCAGTAAAGAGCAAATGTTCTTGCCTCTAGGTCTGCTCTTCAGATATGGGCAGTGGCAGAAGGAAACCCTTTCCTCCCTGCAAAAGGGGAAATAAAACTGTTGCTCTGTCCTGTCAAAGTGCTGGCCAATATGGAGGAAGAATCTGATAGTCCTCCAAAGCCTCCAGCACAGAGCGGGGTGGAGGGGCTCACCTTTTCACCAGTGATGTGACACTGCCACAAGCAAGAGTTTATCACTATAGCAGAGACCACAAGGAAAACGTCACCCAGAATGACTTCTACCCAGTTTTAATAACAAGACTCATAACTGTTCTGTGGTTCCTGAACTGGCGGTGAAGAAAACCTTCCAAGTTGCAACATATTATCTTGAGCTCCAGAGCTTAGAAAAGGTAATCTTTTGTACCATAATTCCAAGAACCTGCAACTTCCATAGCCAGCTGGGAGACTGTGGGCAATGTAAAAAGCCACAATATGTTAGATTTATTCTGACATCCTTAGTCCATAGGTGCTTTCTTCTTTGCCCAGGCTGTGATAATAAAATATCTCTGTTTGTATGTATGTGAAAGCACTTGGGGAAAATAAAGCTCACGTCAGGATGGAGAGTCCATTGCCTGTCACCTGGGTGCTAGCTTTGCACTTAAACACAAACTCTTTATATGTAACTTGAGGCAGACCTGTTTTAAATATAGAAATCTGCCTCAGACATAATTTGCTTAACCATCAAACTATCCAGTAAGTAAAGAATCTTTTATCAGTATGCTTGCCTATAGCACATGGTTTAGTCACCTTTTTCGTTCTTTTTCCACTCACCATAATCTTTTATATAGCCCTATCAGAACTATAACAGCAGGCCGCAAGTCAGTGTATTTTTATGATGTCATGCTGAACAATCAGCATTCTGCATTGCAATGTTCTGATGTGGTTTTCATGTAATCTTAGGCGTGGGGGAGGAGGGGAGCATGGCAGTTGGCACCCTCACTTGTCAGCAAGTTCATCAGGCTCAATTCCAGTAAGTATGTTGAGCATCAGAAGCACCTGCTGACTTCCTCCTCATTATGGCTATAATCCAAGATTCAACTCCTTCCAAGCACCTTTTGCTGAAACCAATGGGGCATTATCGAGGAACTGACTTCAGAGTGGAGTGTGCTGTGGGGGAGGATGGTAAAGGCTCATGAGAAAGGTTGTAAGCGAGCCATATTGTCATCATGATCCAGTGGGAAACAGTTTGTAATTAAATTGGGGATCCTAAATTGGGGATCCTCTATTGGGCCCATGGGCAGTGACAAAGAGCCTCTTGGATTCGCGAAAAGAAGAGATCCTGGAGATGTGTGTGTGTGTTTAGTCGTTTAGTCGTGTCCGACTCTTCGTGACCCCATGGACCAGAGCATGCCAGGCCCTCCTGTCTTCTACTGCCTCCCGGAGCTGTGTCAGGTTCATGTTGGTTGCTTCGCAGACACTGTCCAGCCATCTCATCCTCGGTCGTCCCCTTCTCCTCTTGCCGTCACACCTTCCTAACATCAGGGTTTTTTCCAAGGACTCTTTTCTTCTCATGAGATGGCCAAAGTACTGGAGCCTCAGCTTCAGGATCTGTCCTTCCAGTGAGCACTCAGGGTTGATTTCCTTTAGAACTGATAGGTTTGTTCTCCTTGCAGTCCAGGGGATTCTCAAGAGCCGCCT